CCTGATGCACTTCCGGTTTAATTTTTACCGTAATCGTTCTACAATTTATTATAATTAAATGTGAATGATATACTTTGACTTCATTTTTGACTTTGTTTTATTACAGTCATCTTTTGTATATTTACAGATTAACTGTAATAGTGTGATGTGCCAGCGCTTAGTTTCCCAGCATGCATTGCTTCGTGAATAAATTATGACTATTCATAGATTTTGCTAAATATATGACCACTTTTCTGTTTTCTAAAAGTTTATAGCAGATTCTAGTTTATAATGTGCACACATTGACGGCAAAAAATATTTGAATGTTCTGTTCACTTGCCCAACCGTACCTTGATGTGAAATTACATTTCAATATTAAATTGAAGCATTTAAGGTACTCATTAGTCTTAGTATGTTTTGCTTGATTTAACCCCCCACCCAAAAAAGATATTGACACCAAAGTAAAAAAAAAGTAAAAATCTTTTTTTGATTTTCATTCCGGATTTCATTCCTGAAAAAAGAATGCATACGCATAGTATGCCGAATTACCATTGTTTTTATTTTTTATTTTTTTATTAGTAAAGGTTTCGAAGGGTATAGAAGGTCCTTGTTACATACATTACATGTACTTACTATAGTTATAACAATAAATAGTATTGTTATAACTATAGTAAGTACATGTAATATATGTAACAAGGACACTGTGAAATAAAGTGTTACCAAAGAAAATGTCCTAGCCTGCTTCGATTTCACAGTATGATTCTGAATAGACTATTTTATCTTGTGATTTTTACAGCACCATTTTTCAGGAACACGAAAACACACACACATAACACTCCACATTAGCCGCTTGTCACTTCCTCAATAGCTGAGGTTAAATAAAGGGCTTAATTCACTTCTATTTATGTTATTAATTAGAAAATATAAGGACTGGGAGTGAAAGGGGGATAATGCAGCTGGGATGAGCTCATCAACACTGCAGTGAATGCTTTATTTATTAGTTGCGGTGTTCTAATGTGCCCTAATGACATTGATATTCATTACACCTTGCCCCAAGAGCACTTACTCTCACACGTGTGTGTGTGTGTGTGTGTGTGTGTGTGTGTGTGTGTGTGTGTGTGTGTGTGTGTGTGTGTGTGTGTTATGCTCTCCCTCTACGGACCTCCGGGACCCGACTACACGTAAAACCCTGCTTCATTATTCCTCAATTAATTTAGCGGCATGTTTAAAACCTCAGCGTGTGTTTGCACCAATGTCATTATGCCGATGTAATCCTGAGACTTCAGTGTCCTGATGCCTGTGATTGTGGGTGGTCTTTATTGTCAACGGCATTGCTTTTCAACTGATTTTTCTTCATGAACCACATTTTACAATGGACATCAAGTGGCGACCCAACATTGAACCCTCATGTTGTTCAACCCCATAAGACTTCAGTTCATCTTCGGAACACAAGTTAATATATTTTTGATTACCGTAAATCTGAGAGCTGGATCACTCCTCCATAGGCTTCTTAAGGGATCGAAACTAATCCTTTAAAATAATACTGTAAAAAATTGGATGGATGGAAGGATGGAAGGATGGATGGAAGGATGAAAGGATGGATGGATGGATGGATGGATGGATGGATGGATGGATGGATGGATGGATAAAATATTTTTTTGTTCTCACCCGTCCAACATTTTGGTGGTGTGTGCTTATCTTGTACATATGGCCATTTCAATGATTCAAGGTAGTTTTAGGCCACATTCTCCACTACTGGCCACTGTTGCATTATGGGTAAGGCATGTACAGCATGGAGAGAGCAGCTAATAGGAGGATCAGATCATTTCTTCGAAGGCTGTCATTAACCGCTTGCTGTAGGTCATATTAAACAGGTTCCCAAAGGGGAGGGAAGGTCAGTGTCATTAGTAACAGATTACTGGTGTTTTGTGGTAATAAAAAGACGGATTCTCAATAGTTTGTCCCACTCAAACGGCTTCTAGTGGAAAAGACAGCAGGAGCAATTACATCCATTCCATAGGGAACAGAGATGCAGGTCAGGCTTGTTATGTAGATGGTGAAGAGACAGGTGGATGTTGTTTGTTACTGTTGACTGGTTGAGAATAAGCACTATTTAGTGCTTAAATATTCAAGGCAATGCAATTGGAAAAGCATATTTGTGTGCATGTGCTTCCTCGGAGGCGTAATTATATCTGTTTTTGTTTGCTACAGGATAAAAACAGAAAGGTTAACAATCTAGTCTTTCACTGTTGTTTCATATATCTACTCTGACCATAAAACATGGTCTACAAGACTATTTGAAGCAGTAAAAGAATGGAAGGAATCAGATGGATCCTCCTGTTGACTTTACTTCAGTGTATCATTTCTGTATCTGTGAAACTTATAACTAAAATGATGAACACTTCAAGCGGGGTTGTCCAAAGTCCGGCCCAGGGATGAATTTCAAACGGCCCACAGCTTGACTATTAAAACATATATGCAGCCCGCCATGCAAACCATGAAGTTTCACGATGTTAACACAGGGTGACAGCAATAGATTCTAGGCCAGGTGAAGCAGTAAACCGTGAGTGCCAAAGTGATAAGCGCTGCCATTTCTGTAGCGTATGAAACCTTAAACGCAGGTTTGAACTGTCCCGCATGGAGCATCTATTAGCTCTGCCCAGCACAGCGCGAGCTCAGAACAAATGCATTTACGCTGACCACTAAACAGTGTGAGATCCAG